TGGGGAATTCTGGGAGTTGAAGTCCACACATCTTGAAGTTGCTGAGGTTGAGAAACACTGAGATAAACCTTGGGGGTGACCATTAGGGTTTTGCAGAGGAATGCTTTTAGTCTTAAGTGGCTATAACATACTGCAAGGAGACGGGGCGGGAGAACCACCGAGGCTCACAAGGCAATCAGGGAAACAGGGCGGGGTCCGGCCAGTGTCCCATGGGCTGGGCGCCTCCTCCCCAGGCAGGATGTTTGACAGGACGGGCGAGGAGGTTGATGGAGGGCGCAGCAGCACACCAGAGGAGACAGATGATGGTCTGCTGTTAATGCACCCAGCCACCCTCCTGTATTCTGCTCAATTCAGGATGTTTATAGTATGGGTGAATTAACAATTTAAAAATATTTCCAGGATCTCACAGACCCAGTTCTGCTGGAGAATCAAGTCCATCCCCTGAGGCTTTTTTCCCTCCTCAGTTTCAGGGACACCCTCCCCCAGCCTGCCTGAGGTTGCCCCAGTCAAGGCATTTTGCTGCCTGGCAAATAACAGGTTGGCACTGCCCACTGGATAAGCAGTCCAACCGTTCTTGAATACCTGGGTGCCCTCCTCTATAACTGAAGGCAGCCGGTGCATTTCAGGAGCAGAACACAGCTTGTCTAGGATACACCACATCACGGCCTAACGATAGGGCCGGCCCCAGCCTGGCCTGCTTGCCTTGCCCCCCGCCACTAGTCCTACTTCTCACCCAACCCTTCAAGAGCTTCAGGGATGGCCCAGATGCCTTCGTTTATCCAGAGGAGGAAAGGGTGGCCCTCTCTGTGCCCCCTTGCACACCTGCCGAGCATTCCAGAGTTGGGCGAAGGGTGTGGCATGGAAAAATGATGACGCAAGCCTTGACAGGAAAAGAGCCACATTATGTTGAAAACGTTAATTGCAAGAAACAAGAATGACCTCATCCTGCTTCTTGGTGCTTGAATGCTGCAGAAAGCCCTAGGATTTGGCAGGCGAGCTTTGGAGGGCCCTTGCTGGAAAGATGGAGACAGAAAAGATCCCAGCCAGGAGGGAGAAGGTGCATCAGGAGCAGGAGGAGACGCAGGTCTAGTACTCATTTAGACGACAGCTTCTTGGGCAGGGTGGCTCTTGCCCACATCGGTCTGCCAGCCAGGATGAGCTTTGACGTGGGCCTCAACAGTCATAACAGCTGCAGGCAGGACGAAACTGCAGGAGGAGACGGCGGCAGTGTGCGGTCGCTTTACTTGCGACGGTGAGAGTCCAGCTAAGCTCTGCCCGGCAGGTGTATGATCCAGCTTGGAAAGAGAGGGCCACCGCTGTTCCCTCCTCCTCCACTGGAAAGTTCAAGAGGTCCACATCTGTGCCCACGATGGGCGAGAGCCCGTCAGGTGGGCTGTCAAGTTGCCCCAGCCTGAAGCAGCAATAGGGATGGGAAGAAAAGTTCTTTGTGCCCACAACACTAGTTTGGACTCTGTCATCTGCTGGCCCATTTCGCCGGGGCTGGGTGGGGTGGGGTGGGGTGAGGTGGGGGCTCTTATCTCACATCCGCGCCTTGTCCTCCTCCAGCTGCCAAGAGTCCTGTAACGTCAGAGGGCTTGGATTGGGCCCTCTGGCGCGCAGCACAGATGCTCTGCTCTGCTCTCGGCTGAACCAGGGTGAAGGAAACACAGTGACCGCCCTGGCAGAACTCTGCTGGCTTCCTTGATGGCTTGTTCACCCACCCCTCAGATCACAGCTGGCTTCCCAGAACCTCCGAACTACAAACTGCCCAACCTCCTTTACGGCCACCTGAGTGCACTGGGCAGAGCAGCCACTCGACCACAAAGTGGTCAACCACATTTCAAGACAGTGGTAGTGCTTAGGGAAGCATTTCCCCGAAGTGCTGCACTGACCTGTTCTCTGCATCTGGCCAGCACAGAAGATCATATACTAGCCAAGCCAGCTGGGTTTCCCACGCCCTCTTGAACGCCTTGGGTGAACCCCTCCCTAGAGAGAGCCTCTGGCTGGCTTACACGATGTCCCCGTGCGAGGCCTTGATGTCGGGCGGCTCTCCCTCGCGGAGCATCAGTCCGGCCACGTGGGCGGGGAACTTTTGCTGCAGTCCTCAGCTTTCCATCTTGGTTACATGATTTGAATGTACATATTAGCCTAGAATTTCTGGCTTTCAAGGACCAGTTTCCATAACAACCATGTTCTCATCAGGTTGCTTAACTCTTCCACTGCTGGACCAGCCTCAGCCTAGGTGGGGTTTCCTCTGGCAAAAGGTTGCCCAGATTGTGTGCTGGAGGGGGCTCCTGCAGCTTCGGGGGAAGGAGCACGTACAGCTTCCCCCAGGAAGGAATGCTACTTCTCGGTTATGGGCAGACTTTTCTGCGCTCCGGCAGAAGGGAGCCGGTGCTGGCCAGGAAGCCCGTAGCCGGGCTAAGCATCCTTCAGCCTAGAAAGCGTGGAAGGTCAGAAGGTGCCCAGGGAGAGTGGGAGTTTCTGCTCCAGCAGAAGATGCTCTTCAAGGTCCCCCAAGGGGGGGGGAGGAGGGAGAACTGCCCTCCCCCTCCATAATCAGCTGGAGGCCTCAGCTGTTGCAATTAAAGCTAATTGCTAAAAAGGAAGGCGAAGGGCAGCCTCAGCCTGTTTACGGGCCCAGCAAGTCCCACGGGAGGGAGGGCGAAGCAGTGGGGGGCGACGGTTTCCCTGCCGAGCCCCTCCCCGCGTCTGGCCCAGCGCAGGGGCCTCACTGGCTCTCCTGGTTCTGTTGCAGACCCTCCCAGGACATCAGCCTGGAGGAATTTGACGACGAGGACTTGTCCGAGATCACGGATGACTGCGGCATCGGCCTGAACTATGACTCGGACCACAATGAAAAGGTGAGAGAAGCTGGCCGGGGGTCCCAGCTCCAGGTCCACCCCTTTCTCTTTAAATGGGGGGGATCCTACGCTTTAAATTTCCTGTTGCCTGACTTTCTGCTCCCCTCTTGTCCACGGGGAAGCGCCCGGACACTTCCAGAGCTGGGCGGCATCTTCTCCTTGGCAGGAAAAACCGGCTGACTTGCCTTCAAGTTGCTTGTGAGGGAGCAACGCGTTAGTGACCGCGCGTGGATCCTCCTGGGAGAGCTGAGCAGGGGGCAACCCCCCTGCTTTGTCCTTTAACTGGCAGCTGCTTGTTCCAGAAGGGGCGGGGGAGAGCCTGTTCCCTGCCTGCCCCTCTGCGCTGGTCGGGCTGGCCTTGGTCCCAGCCTGGATCAGGCCCTTCAGCAGGTTTCGGTAGCAACAGCCGCAGCAAAAAGAGCTGAGGTGAAATGAACACGACACCTTTGGGACCCCAGGGAGGCCGGGAGCACCCCGGTTTCCCACAAGGAAGCGGATCCTGCAAGCAGGGAAGCGGCTCTCTTCACAGGCCCCGCAGCCGAGCGCCTTCGAGGAGGTATCCTCGGGGCCTTTCTCCTAACCGAGAACCCTCCTTAAAGATGCACTGAGCCCCCACGGAATTTGAATTCTCTGCCCATGAATCCAAATCGCGCGCTATCATCATCATCATCATCATCATCATCATCATCATCATCGAACGAGATGTTATTTTGCGGGCCTGGGGCTGAAAGACCAGCCCAGATTCCCACAGCAGTGCATGCAGTCCTGCCAGGGAGGCTGCGAGCAATCAGTCAGGCGGGTTACCCAGCTGGTATTCGAAGCTGCTGCCTACCCTGCCCCCTGCCCCCCTGCTGCCCCACTGGATTTCCCCCTTGCTTGCCTGAAAGAGCAGCCTATCAGGCAGCCCCCCACCCCCCATGCATGGGAGGGTGTTAATGAAATTCCTGGGGGGCTGTTGGGGACGGAGCTGCCTGCCCCTGCCTGTGCAACCACCAAGGAAGGAGTGGGTCCACTGCTGTCCCGGGGGGCTCCTGCTGGGTCTCCCAGGCTAAGGGAGTCTCTGCTTCCTGGCGGGGGTGGGGTGAACCTTCCCAGGTCGTCTTCCTCCCACCTCTTCCCATCGCTGCGGCCTAATCAGCGCTTCAACGCAGGAAGCAGATGGAGGAGTTAATGCAAGGCCTGGCCCAAAGGCCCGGACTGGACAGAGGGACCTTGTGTCTCTTGTGCCACCAGGAGAAGCCAGGGGAGGCGGCTATTCCTCCTCGGACTTCTAGGCTCAGCTAATTTGGGGTGTGTGTGTGTGCATGCACACACACCAGACACCTGCCCTATCAAAGATGGTTGCACAGCCTCTGCTGGAAGGGGTCCAGCGAGGGACCCCCAGCCCCATCACGCGCTTCCTTCTGTTGAGCGGTTCCTCCGGAGTTCAGCTGGCGCCTCCCGCCCAAAGGCCACCCCAACCTGGCCCTCCGGAGCAGAGAGGGAGCCTTCAGCCTCCCGGGAATGCGCCCTCAGGGTCCGTAGCCAGGGCTTCTCCGTTTCCCGGCTTCACTGGGCCGAGGTTGGCCTTGGAGTCCGTATTGCTGGAGGCCTCTTCCGTTTCTCTGCATCCTCTTAAAACACAGTCCCCCAAAATGGATGGGGGCCCCAGGCAGACTCAGGCTGTCAAGGGGCATTGCGCCGTGTGGTTTGGTGAGGCCAGCCCCTTGCATAACCAGGGTCAGTTGGCGGCTTCCCACCCTGATTTGGGGGCCGGGCCTGAGCGCCTGGCCTGTGAGGAGGGGGGTCGGCCAGTTGCAGCCCAACAGCAAAACCATGTCGAGCAGCCTGGGATCGGATGCTGTCGGCGTGGGATAAACGCTTCCCTGTGGGCTCGCGGGGCCCATCCTGCTGGCTCCGAACATGCTCGGCCTCGCAGCAGATAGAAAGAGAGGCCTGGACTTTCCGCTGCCAGCAAGCCACGTTCCTCTGAGCCTGCCCGCTTTGGGCAGGGTGGCTGTGAATTCTGCCAGTCGGCCTTTCTGAGGGAGGGGCCCTGTTGCTGGGGTCGCCCAGCCTGGCTGAGGGTTTTCCCGCAGGGATCCTGGAGCCCAAGAGCTGCACACACCCCTGCTGGGCAGGACGTGTCCTCCCCAGGGGCCAAGACCTGTCCTCTGTTCCCTCCAGGACTGCCTGGTGCTGGGGAGGGGCGAGCAGCCCCACCCAACCTGCACCTTCCAGGAAGATTTCCAGGAGTTTGAGATGATCGATGACAATGAGGAGGAGGAGGAGGAGGAAGAGGAGGGGCTGGAAGAGGCCCCGCCCTCCCCTTCAGGATCTCTGATACCTTCACCCACCCCCGAGGACACCCAGAAGCTCCGTCCCACCACCCTCAACTTGACCGTCACAAGCACCCAGGTGAGGTTGTGTCCCCAAACTTGGCAGAGCCCGTATGCAGTCAGCCAGACTGGGGAAGGCTCCTGGCAGGGAGGGGTGCCCCTCCAGCGCTGCAGCCGGGCTAGCTGAGAGAGCTGCAGCCCCGGGAAGGCATCTTTGCTCTCGGAAATGAGGCTTGGAGGCAGCCTTCGGTCCGTTCGGTCCCACCCTGTTTCGTGCATGTACTGGAAAAATGTGTCTGATAATGGAGCTTGGGGTAGGAAGCTGAGATGCTCCCACAGTCTTATGAAACCAGAAGAAAACCGGGGAAATGTATCAGGTGGCCAGAAAAGCTGCTTCAAGGGGTGGGGGGATGCTGGACTTCCAAGAAGCCGAGCGCCTGGGCTGGGCTCATCCCGGAGAGGAGGCTGCAGGAGGGCGCCTCTGTGGTGAGACGTGGATCCAGAGCTTTCCGATGGGCTCTTACCCCACTTAGTGGGAGCACGCAGCTCCAGAAGCATTTCTGCATCATCAATAAGCCATGGAGGAGAGCACGGTGCAAGCGGGGCGGCCAAAGGAGGCAGCTCCCCTCTGCTCCGTTGCCCATGGCAGTTGGCAGAGCCGGCGGAATCCGGAGTGCTTCAGTGCGCGCGCAGAGAAATCGATGCCGGGATGTTGAGACCAGAGTGCTTTTTGCAGGAGTCTCCCCAGAGACTCGTTCAATGCCTGAGAAGCGAGCGCTCTGTCCAGCGTGGAGCAAAATGCCCAGCGTTAGCCCGGGTCACCAGCACCCGGCTGCAGCGCTCCATGGGGGCAAAGAACTGGGAGGTGCTGGAGGGGGCGCTTGCTGGACGGTGGCCTCAGGGTAAACCTGGCCCAGACCCAGGCCTGGCAGGGGACAGGGCTGGGGACTGCAGGAGGCAGGGATGGGCGTGCTCGTGACACCAACACCTGGCCCTTGGCCAAACAGCTGGAGCAGTCCGGCTGGCTCTGAGTCCAGCTGCCATTAGAGGCTTCCACCCTGGGCTTGCTGGGACAGTCTGTAACCCACGTAGCAAAAAGTGCACTCACACAGCAGTTTTGAAAAATGCGTCCCTGCACGTGGATTCTCAGACTGTCGTTTTCTGTGCACTGTTTGAGGAAAAACGTGGCAGTGAAGCAGCAGCATAGCAAGTGTGTGGCTGGTGGCAGGAGATGCTGATGCCTGGCCCTTAAACAAAGCCCTGCAGGAAACGAATTTCTCCGGCTGAGGCTTTCTCTGCAAAGACCCCGGCCTTGCAGGGAGATGAGCCGAGGCCGCCAGGCGGGGCTTGGGATACAGCAGGCTGCTTCACGTGGGCGTTCCCAGCAGTCGAGGCAGCTGGCCTTGCCAGGGACACCCGCGAGGGAACCAGAGGCAGCCTGCAATCTGAGCCGCCCCCCTTGAGGGCGAGGCTGGATGGGCAACCGGTACAGAAAGTGCCAAGGTTGGAGAAAGCTCAGTGAACTCCAAGGAGGGGAGCTGGACTCTCCGAGACCCTCCTGGGTCTTTTGGCTGGGCTCGACCTCTGCCCCGAGGCACTAAGTGGCTGAAGTTGCCCATCGCACCGAGTCACGCGCCAAGCAAGTGTCTGGGTTCATATGGCACAGGATGCATCCGGCCAGGCCAAACCAGGTTAGGGCTGAGCATGAGGTCCGAACCCAGACTTGGGGTATGTGTCCCCCAAACTCTTTCTGTGTCCTGAGCAATGCTGGAGGCCCATCTCTGAGTTGGCTCCCTGGTATTTTATTAGAGGCCCACTGTCGATTTAGCCTCTCCTGGATCCCCTTCCCTTCCCTCCCGCCTCTTCACGTGCCTAAGAGGCGTCTCCCCCAGAAAGAGGACCGGAAAGGTCCTGAAGAGAGTTCAGCCCAAAACGCCTTTGCTCCTGCTGCTGAATGAACTTGGAAAGGGCCTGACGGCGCTCTGTGGTGCAGGAACCGGGGTGGCCGTGGCTTCACTGCGTCAGCCACACAAATAGGCGCCAACTACTTTGCGTGTATCCCAGCCCGTGTTATCTTGCAGAAATCAGCAGCCCAGACAGATATGGACAATGAAAGGCAGTTTAGCTGGATCACGGAAAGCCACTCAGAGCCTTTGAATAGGCAGCCTACAAACAACATACATAAATGAATGAATGCGTTCCAGTGCTGTTTTAAAGTATAGCCAATATCCCCAAATGGCTCTTCTTCATTTTTCAGTGTAGCACTGAACATATTAACCAAGTTGGAGGCACTTCAGGGTTGCCTGGCCCCTGCTGCTGGGTTCCCTTCTCTGCTGTCCGTCCCCTTCCTCTCCCATGGCCACGAGGCTGCTTGGTCCCCTGTGAGATATCTGAGCGGGTGTTCCCCAGTCTCCAGTTTATGTCCTATGCCAATCACTAATCCCCACTGAGATTAATGGTTCCCCTCCATTCTTCTAATCTGCCAATACTGTCAACTTTCAGTTGGCTTCAGGCTGGCCTCAAAGCTCTTTCTGATGGCCATTCTTCCTCCTAAACCTTACTAGAAGGCAGGAAGAGATTGGTGAATGCTCCCAATAAAATCCGTGTGAGGCTAATCCCCTCTCTCTCAACAACCAGAATAATAAAAAGAGAAGTCAACTGCAAGGAATCGAGGTTAATAACAACAGCTGAAGGTAGGCCTCTTGAGCTGAACATAGTCCACCTGGAGGAAGCATAATATATTAATATTCTACATTTACAGATGCATAAGTTTCTAATGCACAAATCCCCCTCGAGTCTTGCTACACTGCTGCATTATGGGGGGGGGCATGAACAAAGAACCCCCAGGGTGTACACCAAGATTACCTACTCCTAGCAGGGTCACCCAAGGGGTGAGGGTCATCCCAGCTGGCCTGTTAAAACAAGCAAGCACCCATATTCCATAAGAAGATGCCATTAAAGATGGATGGTCACTTTAATGACAACAACAGGCATCGTTTCGTATGTACGTGTGAGAGTTCCGAGTCAAGCTAAAGCAGAAGAAAGCCAGGCAGACTCCATGATATATTGAGCAAATATCCACCGTTTTCAAGGAGAACATCAGGAATCATTTTGAAATCCTAAACCTCATTGATAGAGAACCAATTAATGATGTTTGTGGAGTTAACTTAAAGAAGTCCTCAAGGATGGATGTGAAAAGGGACTGCCAAAAATAGAGAAATAGAAGAAACCAAACTGGATGTCAGAACAAACCGTGGAAATTGCCAAGAAGGTAAGAGAAACCAAAGTCAGGAAAGACAAAAATCTCAGGAGGTTCAGAGGGCTGTCAGAAGAGACGAGAAGTAGCATCACAACGACATCTGTGAAGACACTGAGGATGGCAACAGACATGGAAAAAGAAGGGACATCTTTCAAAAGATCTCTGAACTCAGAAGGTTCCCATCTCAAATTATTATGCTAAAGGACACTGGTGGACCGATAATAACTGATCAAACAAAGATGGAAGGAGTAGACTGAAATGCTGTACAGTAGAGATGCCAACATCCAAGATACCTTAAAGGATATTCCCTACCTACAAGAACCTAGTCCTAGGAGATGAAGTTAGACGAGCACTCTGATCGTTACTAAGTCGGAAGGCTGCAGGGACTGAAATATGGCAAGCAACAGAAGAAGAATCAGGTTCTGACCAGGCTCTGCCAGTAAATCTGAAGAATGACATTCTATAGAAGCAAAATTTAGAATAAAGAAGCAGGACAGAAAGACCATTGATGCTTTTGAACTTTGGTGTTGGAGAAGACTCCCGAGAATACCATGGACAGCCAAGAAAACAAGCCGATGGATCATCGAACCGATCAACCGAGAGTTCTCCTTCGAGGCACAAAGGACCAATATTTCCTCCTTCCTATTCAATGCTGATTTTGGGTTAGAAGCAAACTGCTGCTTAGTTAGTTTTGTGGCTTTAATTGCTGGGTTCTTTTAATAATAATAAAAAATGGCAAATACGGAAAGTAAGGAAAATAAGTAACTTCCCCATTGCACAAAAAGTGGGCATAAAAGTGTACTAATCAAAGGGGTTATCTACAGAAATATGGCAATATTGCTAACAACAAAGCTGCAGGTGATGACAAAATATCATCTGAACAATTTAAAACTCTACACGATAATGCAGTTAAAGTGCTGCTTGTGGTTTGTAAGCAGGCATGGAAAACATAGGTGGGACCGAGGGACTGGAAAAGATCCATTTATATTCCCGGAGAATAAAGGATGCTTAACCTGAACAGCTGTCCCTTTTTCATTCCTTTTAAGATAATGTTCAAGACTTTGCAGTCCAAACTTCAGCAGTACATGATACAAGAACTTGCCAGATCTATAACCTGGAGGCAGAGATACCCAGGATCTCATGACAACTTACGCTGGGTTATGGAAAAGGCAGGAGAGATCAATACAGATTTTTTTTTTTTTTTTGCTCTGTTGATTATGCAGAGACCACAACAAATGTTGGCTAGCCCTTAAAAACACAGGTGAACTGGGCTGCCTCATCTGCCTGTTGAAGAATTTGCACAATGACCTGAAAGCAACAGGCAAATAGAATTTGGAGCAATACATGATTCAAAATTGGGAACGGAGTGTTGTAACTTCTATTTATTTAACTTACATACAAAATATATACTGAGACATTCTGGGCTAGCAGAAATAGAAACTGGAATTAAAAGTGCTGGGAAAGACATCAACAGTCCAGATACACTGATGGTGCCTGATGATATACTGATGGCTGAAACTGTGGAAGACCTAAGGCAGGAAGGAAGGTGGAAGAAGAGAGTGCCAAGGATAGACTACTGTTGTTGTTTTTTTTAAACTAAGAATATGTTAACAGACCATGCCAACTCAGTGCAAATAGGCAGAGAAGTTAAAGTAGTAAAAATGTAATCTTCATAGTTCAGAAACCAGGTAATCATGAACTAGAGAGATGTCTGCTACTTGGAAGAAAGATTATGACAGATCTGGACAAAATAAAGTACAGAGACATCACACTGAAAAGCTAGATGAAGAAATTTGAATTGTGCTGGAGGAAATTGGTGA